AGTCTAGGCTCTCCGTCCTCACTTCCTCCTGAAAATACTGTGGGGAAAAGTCATATTCTCAAAATTGATTTTTTTTCATGTAATCATCTTATAGCCTGTGTTTTATATCTTTATGCTTATGTTTGTATCAGGAACTAAAACACTAAAAAGTAGTGCATGGTGCTGAAATACTAAATCCTTTTGAATAATTCTGGGACACAAAGAATCTCCTTTTATCTGGGTTGTAAATCAGTGGGGCAGGGAGGCAGGAGTTAAACAAACTATAGTAGTCCATAGTTTGACTATGAATGCCGTAGTTACAGAACTCATTACCACATGACTACTTAACAGACCAAATAATGTGCTAATCTAGAGTTACTATTTGTCATACTTAAGAAAAAACAAAGAATAGCTGGGCAAACAGTCAATTTACAACCAGAGCGAAAGTAAAGCACTGCCAAGAGACACTGGGGCTTATCTTGCCCCTACTGAAATGAATGGAAGTTTGGGTACAATCTTCCCTAGCATTAAGCTGACTTAAATTCACACATTTTGGCTTGATGCACGCATTCATGAATGAATAAAAAACTTTGGGAAGGTAGATGTTGGAAACACAATATTGGCAAGTCCTTAACTATAGTAATAATTGCTGACATTGCTGTAGTCACTCTGACTAAAAATATCCAATACAATAACAAACCTAGTGAACCTATTCATTTATTCCTGTTTCACAAAGGCTATTTACATACATAGAGAAGCTCAGAATATATTCTGTAGTCATCATATTTACAGCACATCCCAGCGCAACAAACTGGCATCGAAACTATTTATTTAGGGAACTTCATCCAGGTTAGAATCTTTCAAATCTGGCAATTATTTTTCATCTTGAGCATACGATGCTTACGACAGCAGTATGCTGGGCCCATGTTTGATAAATGTTAACGGTAAACAAGCTCAGGGCTCTTTAAAACATTACTTTTTGGTCCAAAAGCAACCTCATTACAGCTGTATTCACAACAGAGTTAAAAGTGAAAAAGCTGAAGGACAACTGCAGCAAATACAGCCGTACTAATGAAAATCCTGGTTTATAAAGAGAATCCAAAGGTGTTTGCTAAAACATAATTTGCAATGCAAGCACATTTTTTCACTAACCTCCTACAATTCTCTAACATCTTAAAATATGACCCACTTTGCAACCAGGGCTAAAATTCCGAGAAGTTCTGAAATAAAACCCAAGGAAAGCCGAGCAGCAGGGTTGCTCTCCATTTCAGCCAAATCCAAGCCAACGTTCCAGATTATATATATCATAACACGAATTATTTTTGCTGAAAAACCCCATCCAGCTTTTATGCAGGTCCATAAATGTTCCTGGTACTTTTATTAATTTGTCCATAACCATTGAAATAAAACTCTAATGCTCTGAGCTGCGTTCTGTTCCAGGCTTGTAGTAAGTTCCTGTTAAACGTGTAAATGTTCAGCAGAAAGATATTTTTGCACGGAGACTGAAAATCAGCTGTGCCAGATACCTGAAACTTTGTTAGGGCGTTCAGTGGAAAATTTTATTTCGACATTATAAATAACTGTGGACTATTTTAAGTGACCTTAAACTGGTGCCTTCCAATAACTTATTTTCGTTTATCCTAATTAACTTTTTATTTTAGTAGGAAGAGAGGTGACTGTAAAACTTTTAGTGTGACTAATTAAAAGTGGAAATGTATCTTCTTGTTTGAAATAAATCATGATTGTCAGGCTTATATAGTATTTGGACAGAAGACAACCTCTTGCCTTCTTTCTAGCACCTTTGGAATGGCTCTAATGGATATATTTCCCCATCCAGCTAAAGGCGGGGGAAAGCCAAAAGCACCTATGGTCATAAACATTTTACCAAAATATTTGTGGAAAAAAAATATGTTTTATGTAAGGAAACTATAGCAATTCAGAGCTTCTGAATATCCCAGTAATTGTCCTTTGGGAATGCCTGTGGCTACTTTGGGGGGGAAAGGCAGATCCCTATGGTTCTAAGAGAAGCAGGGCAAGCTCAGGAGGGGTTTGTGGTGTTAGCCAAAGCGACTGCATTTTCACAACGGGGTGGGAAACTTCCACAGGCCCTCCAACACTGGACAGGAAAAATAAAATTAAAAAAAAAAAAAAAAGAGAGAAAAAAAAGGGGGGGGGGGGTTGAAGGAAAAAAAGAAAAAAAAAATAGAGAAAAATAGAAGAGGCGGACACAGGTCGCTACGGGGCAGTGAGTCGGGGCTGTTACTCCCGTTTTAACCGTGGGAAGGGCAGAGGAGAGGGAGCAGGAACCCTGAGGCGGGACCCCGGGTCCCGGCGCGTCGCGGCGGGCGCGGAGCGGAGGCGGCAGCCGCGGTGCGCGGAGCGAGAGCTCTCCCCTGTGACCGAACGTCAGATCTTTTTTTCTTATTATTCTTTCAAATGAAATGCGGAAGGAGCAGCGCTGCATTCGGGATGCTGCCCCTGCGCCTACCTTCCCCCATGGGGGGTTGCTCTCGGAGAGGCTCTGATTGGGGGGGGGGGGGGTGGTGGCTGAAGGCGGCTGGGGTAGCGCCGGAGGAGGGCGCGGAGGCTCCGAGGAACGCGGGAACAGCTGCGCTGTGTCTCTTGACCCACACCCCCTCCCCGTGCCCATGTCCCGGGGCTGTTCGCGGAGGGGCAGGCGGGACAAACCTGGCTTTTCGGCTGGGTCTGCGTGCCGGGGTTAGGGTTTGCAAAGGCTCCGTAAAAAGGACACATCCCCCCCCCCCACCCCAATCCCGCCACGGACAGACACACCGCCCCGAGTCACACACAGGCGGCGAGCAAGGAGCACACACGCAACGCCGACTTTTTACAAGAAGGTGGAAGTAGCAAGTCGAAGTAAAGCCTTAGAAATTAGAGGGAGGGTTGTGATAGGTCGTTATCTGCGCTGGGAGGCGTTTACACTTTTTTACTATTGGGTATGTAAATTGTTTTTAATAAGATCTGCCCTTTTTTTTTTTTAAGGGAGAAAACAAACCAGACTCCCTTCACCTTAATAGTCTGAAGGGGGGGTTATAGCTTTCATTCATTCAAGGAAATGGCTTAGGCTTTAGACTAGCGGAGACTTAGGAGGAAAAAAAAAAAAACACAGAAAAAAAAGTTTGGCAACAGATTATTTTTACTTTTTTGAAAACAAGCCTTTTCATGCTTTTTTTTTTTTTTTAAACAAACAAGCCCCAAAGTGTTAATGGAAAAAAACCCGGAGAGAAACGGAGATCAGCGACTGTCTCCTGCTCCCCCCGCTGCCCGTCCTCGTCCCTCCCCCTCCCCGTGCGGGACAGCGACTCCAAGCGAGGTTTCTTCTCCTTGGGGGGGGGTTGCACATTGTTGTATTTATTTTGAAGGCTGCACAAGTCTGAGGAGTGGAGCACCACGTGCTGCTGACTCTCATCAGCATAATGATCGCCTTACCCAGCGAGTCCTGTATATATAAACCACAAAAACCTAATCATTAGAAATCCCAGCCTCCAAAAACCACATTCAGGACAAAAAAACTCCGGGCTTTTTTTTTTTTTTTTCCCCTTTTTTTTCCCTTCGGCTCCTTCATCTTCGCCGACCTCAACTTCTTGGGACCCAAAAGAAGTTTGTTGTTTTTTTGTTGCCTTTTTTTTAATTTTAACCCTATTTTTCAGAAAGAAAAATCACTCAAACCGACACTTGAATTATTTTTTTTTTTTTTTTTTTTTGCCGCCGTTGTTCATCAGGGGCGGAAAAAAAAGGAAAGATTTTTGTTCGCCTATTCAACGCAACGGACTTGGATCCAGCAAGCGTCTTTATTAGAAGGACCGGACTGAACTGAGGCTGCCTTTTCCCAGAATTTACTTGGTCATATATTAGAAATCAGCCTAAGGAGGGGTGTTTTGTTGGGTTTTTGTGTTTTGATTTTTTCCAGCTATGCTCCCCGCTTTTTTCCCCCTGGGACTCTGACGGTTCAACTTTTCTTAAGTCCTATCATCCCAAAGGAACCGGCTAAAGCCTCCCTTTTAATTACTAGCCCTGTGACTTTCCTCTTCACCCAACAACCCCAGTAACTTGCTTTCCTCGCCGAAATAGCTTCGGGAGCGATTATTTTTTCTGGGGAGGGGAGCCTTTTCCCAAGCCCCTTCCCGAGCTCCCGCTTCCCTCCGCTTCCTGAAGCCAAAGGCAATAAGCGGGGGAGACCGGCAGCTCGTCGCCTCCGTCCCAGGGAGGCTTTTTGTTTGCTCCGTTCTCTTTTTTTTTTTTTTTTTTCCCTTTTAATATTTATCCGGAGGAGGAAGATTTCTTCGGAGGAAAACGGGACGTTCCCCTGAGCACCCTCTCGCCGCGTTTGGGAGTTTCGCTCCTCTTCTGGCGGCAGCAGCAAGCCGGGAAGCTGAACCAGCTCCGAGTTTGACTTCTCTCGAGACCACCTTTTGAAAATCCGAAAAGAGAGAAGAAAGGAAAAAAAAAGAAAAAAAAAAAGGAGAGGACGGGGAAGGAGGGGAAGAAAAAGGAAAGAAATTCAAGCACTTGAGGGAAGAAGCGGTGGCTAGAAGGAGGGAAAAGAGCAGAGACTCTGCAAGAAGGAAGGAAGGAAGGAGGAGAAGCAGCAGCATTTGCAGCTGGGCAGAAGCCGGGACCATGCAGTTCGCCGCCGGGCTTTGCTGAGAGGGGCAGCCCCGCACACCGCGGCCAGACCCACTCTCTCGCTGCTGCAGACGCCCGCCCCGGCATCATCTCCCCCCCCCGCCCCGTTCATCTTTCTTTAAAAAAAACAAAAGAAAAACAGACTGAGATTTTTTTTCCTCGTGCGTTTAATCCGCTTTTTTTTTTCTTTTTTTTTTTCGGAGTGGCTTTTTTGCCCTTCATTCTCACCCTCCACTTTTTCATTCACCCCTTTTTTCGCTATATAGATATTTTTTACAACCCCCACCCCCCACTACACGCCTCCTCCAGCGATCCCCCTACCGCTCCCCCCCATCCCCCCCCGCCCCCCAATTCGCTAACTTGTGGCTGTTGTGATGCGTATTCCCGTAGATCCCAGCACCAGCCGGAGGTTCAGCCCCCCCTCCAGCAGCCTGCAGCCCGGCAAGATGAGCGAAGTCAGCCCGGTCGTAGTAGCCCAGCAGCAGCAGCAGCAGCAACAGCAGCAAGAAGCGGCCGCCGCCGTGCCCAGGCTGCGCCCCCACGATAACCGCACCATGGTGGAGATCATCGCTGACCACCCCGCCGAGCTGGTCCGCACCGACAGCCCCAACTTCCTCTGCTCCGTGCTGCCTTCGCACTGGCGCTGCAACAAGACCCTCCCGGTGGCATTCAAGGTGAGACACCCCCTCCCGCCGCCGCCGCTGGCCGGGGATGCCTCCCCCCGCTCCGCGCCGCGCTTCCTCCCGCGGAGCCGCCTCTGCCCTCGCCGGTCCGGGGGGGGGCCTTCGTGCCCCCCCCCCTCCTCCCCCGGCCTGCAAGGGTTTTTCTGACCCAAAGACTGCAGGGCCACTGTGTCCCCCCCAACCTGCAATGACTCCTGTGCCCTGACCCCATCCTTCAGTGCCTCCTCGTGCACCCTTATCTGGCAGTGCCTTCTGTGCCTCCCGGCCTGCAGAGGCTTCCCCCCCACTCCAGTGCCGCCTGTGGCCCCTATCCTGCTATGCTTCCTGTGCTCTCCGGCCCGCAGGGGACTCTATGCCCCCCACCCTCCCCCAGTCTTCAGGGGCTTTTATTCCCCCCCCCCCCCCCCCCAAACCCGCAATGCCTCCCGTGCGCCTCCCGTCCTGCAATGTCTCTTCTGCACCCCCGGCCCGCAGGGGCGTCTCTTCCCCCTCCCCCCCCCCCCCAAACCCTGCTCGTCCTGCAGTGTTCCCTGTACCACCCGATCCTGCAGTGCCTCCCGGTGCTCCCCGTTCCAACAATCTCTCATGTTTGGGGGGGGGCCCCCCCCCAGCCTGCAGTGTCTCCTATGCCTTCCCCCAGCCACAGAGGAACTTTTCTTTCCCCTTCATCCTGCAATGTTCCCGTGCCCCCTCAGTGTCTCCAGTGGCCCACCGGCCCGCAGGAGCTTCTCTGCCCCCCAGTCCTAGAGTGCCTCCTGTACGCCCCCCCCCCCGAGTCTTAGAGTGGTTTCTGTATCCCGTCCATGTCCTGCCGTGACTCCACCGCCCCTCCGCAGTAGCTTCGATGCCCTGTGTCACGCAGTGCCTCCTGTGCCCTCGCTTCTTGCGAAGCGGCCTCGCTCCCCACTGCACTCCAGTGCCTGCAGTACCCCCCCCCCCCCACAACTGTTGCAGTGCATCCCGTACCTCTCCCCCAGCTGTGCTTGCTGTGTTCCCCTATGTCCACTCTGCCCCCCTCACCCGTGCAGCGGCTCCAGTTCTGTGCACCCCTTGCACTTTCCCTCCCGCCCTGCCAGTTATCTCCATCCTGAATTCCGGAGCCCGTTATCTCCATCACTGCAGGGCAGTGCCGGCGAGCCCCCCCCACAACGCTGGGTACCCTGTGCCCCCCTCATAGCACTCTTGGGGACACACCGTTATCCCCACAGGCGCTCACCTGTGCTTTCCATTGAAAAAACAGATAAATCCTGCTTTCCCTCCCTGTGGAAGGGGGTATTCACCCATCAGCTGAAGCTCATTGTGGGGGTGCAAAGTGGGTGCTCCCCCCTGAGAAACCCAGTACCTCACCCTACCACCCCTCCCCTCCCAGGGGTGGGACTGGGGGCCTGGGGTGCTGGGGCTAGGGCTGCAGTTTGAAGGCCACGCTGGGGGCGCAGGGGTGGTAAAGGGGGGGCAGTGCTTTGCCACCTACCCAGGGGGCATCCCGGGCTGAGATGGAGATGGGCAGGGGGTGTCGGGGCTCTTGGGAGGGCCGGGACCCTGTCACTTCTCCTGGTGGACACGCAGGGAAGTGTCTGGCCAGAAGACTCTCCTTGGCAGGGCTCATGCATTTAAATAATAAATACCATCCCTGATCCACACCAGGGATGCTGCTTTTAATTTTCTGTTTACATCCCCATGGCGTGCTAATGAGAGGAAAAGATCTTCCAAAAGAACTGTAGCAACAAGATTTGTGTGCTTTAAAGCAAGCCCTTGTCCTCCCCTAGTGATATTTGAAAGCTTTCGCCTGGAGTTTGCTCTCCCGTTTAGGGAGGGTATTGAGACGGTGATGTCCCGGGTGTCCCAGAGCACCTGCCCCAACAGTGGGGTGGCCCTGCAAGGGGATCGTCGCTACCATACCCACTATGTGAGAAATAATGTGCCTGAAAATAGCTCAAAAGGTGGAAGAGTTAGGAAACAGCTTCACCCAGTGCGTCGTCACCAGAACATCGCCGCCTTCTGATGTTTCCCAATCGCTAGCCATGTTACCACAGCTGTTCAGCCATAAGAAATCATAGAATCTGTTAGATGAGTTAGTGTTGAAGTGACGGGGGATAAAGATGCAGCTTTGCTTCCAAAACATTGCGGGGTGAGGATGAGGGTTGGCTAAAGCATAGGGGAAGCAGCTTGGAGAGTCAGGAGATACAGGAGGAGCAAACCTTTTCCGTGGGGCCTGCTTGTGCAGGTCATGGTGGTCGGACTCAGTAGAAGTGGCAGGAAGATGGATTGTGTTGTGTGTTCGTGACTTGGTGTAGCACTCAAAGGCTCTCTCGGTGTAGATCACAGTGACTGATTCAGAGGGGCCGTGGGGTAAGGAGGAGGAGATTTTGGAGAATAGTGATTATCATTTAATTGAGCGTTAGATTAAGTTGGTATTAGCGTTACTCTTTATAGAAAGGACGAGGAAGAGCTAACGTTATTGCACTCACGTTGCAGTTTTCATTTGAAAGGTCTGAGCCTCCTCCTACTTTACAGCAATTCAAAGGATGCAGTCACAGTTCCTTAGAATAAGGGAAAGATCTAAAGTAAATATTAAGCTTGTTAGAGCATTATGACAGTAAGAATACTTAGATGTGATAAAGGGATGGAAAAGTGATTAGTACATTTCCAAAGCTTTTTGTGTTCCTATATATGCGTTTATATACATCTTATGTTTAAGTCCTAAAAGTGATGGCTTACAGGAAGGTGTAGATCTGACCAACTTACTGGTACATCAGGAGTGCACCTTGCCCCTGGCACTCCTCAGCTCTGGGTACATCTGTGTTTCCACAGATGCAGTGCATACTTTTTTACATGCTGAAGATACTTGCTTCCTCATTTAATGGCAAATTAATTTGAAGCTCAGTTGAATTAATTTTGACCATTTTAAAAAATAATTTCATTTCTCTAAATGTAACTTGCATACGGCTGGCCGCTGCTTTTGCACCAAAGAAGCTGCATGAATCATACAGTGAAACACTTGACTGTGATAGAACAGAATGTGAATTATCTCTGGAAAGGAAAAAGACAGATTTGGGCTATAGAAATCTCGGCTAAACTGTAACTTGAAAGTAAAATAGCTCACAGACAGCACACTTTTTGAAGTTTTATTGGCAATAAATAATAATATGATGATGTTTTGAGTGGTGTGTTAAGTGTGTCATAATTCTTTCGCAGAGGTCTCTAGTTAAAAAGTACTCTGGATATAGCACTGTTTTAATTTAGAAAAACAGATATAAATCATATGCAGGAGAGGAAGTGTGTTATAAACAGTGCTGGTTTGATTATAACTTTTTGAAATAATGTTGGCTTAGTATTAGGTTGGATTTTAAGTATTAATATTTACACGCACTGGGGAGGGAGTCCCTGTTGAGTGTACTAGTAAGATTGTTAATGCGGACTGGTTTTGTGGGGAAGAGTAGTAGACGTGTACCTATTAATTTAGCTCTAGCTATTAATATTCCAGCATAAAACAAATGGATATTGTTCACCCAGGTCCAGAGCATATTCGTGTGTTAATCTTAATAGCCAGCGGTACTTTATTTGAGCAGAGTTGTCAGGGTTTGCCCCTCTGTTTATGTGTCTGCCTGGGAGTTTTTACTGAAAGTCATAAAGACCCAAATTGCCACGTTAGATGTGACATGTGGCTTCTGTATGATGCGGAGTGTGGCAGAGTCTTGGTGGACCTAAAGGCAGGGTTTAAATAACGGACGTGAAGCCTAAAACCTCCCCACAGTAGCACCCACAGTAGTTGAGGGTCTGTCAGCATTTCCACTCCAAACCCCAATTTTCAGAGTTTATAACTCAGCTGTTTTAAATAGCTTCAAGCTGAAACCTGCTGTATAAATTGCAGCCCAGATGTATATTCTGAAACAAAAAGTAGTGCAAATCAGTTACTCTGTTTTAAGTTACAGAACATTAAAATATTTTTAATAGTATCAGATGCTCTTTTGGCAATCCCTGGAAGGCGCGTTCTCAGTACATATGATTTTACATTTGGGGCAGTTTGAATTCAGCGTTTCACAGGGAAATTGTTGAAGTGATGTATATCGGTGCTTGAGAGGAATTATTTAGCATGTATACTACTTTTTTTCCGAAACAAGCATTTTACTTGGCAGAAGATCTTAGTACCTGCTGTTGTATAGTAGTTTTGCTTCGTGCTGATAACTTCCGTCTTTAGGGTACATACTTCGGCCAGTTCAAATCCCGCTGGACCGAAACTGGGCAAAGAGGTTGCCTAACCAGATGATAATTGTGTTATGCAAAAAAATACATAGTTATTTTCAACTTGTAAGAATCGGTTTGTGTGTATTTTGTGGCTTCATCTGACTTTGTGTACCTTTTTGAGCTTTAGTTACAAAAAGAAAAACAAATTTGAGCTTTAATCACCAAAATGTGAAGGTAGTTTAATGTGGAAAATGAAGATTTTGAAATAATAGAGATATTTATGTTTGAAGAAAAGGTCAGGAATGGGTGCTGTGGCTGCTTTTAATCTTTAGGTTTTTGTGCACTCATTCTTTTCACAGTGCACTTGCAATCCTCTTTCGAAGAGTATGTAAATAATTCTGGATTGATACATGATAGAAAATTACCAAATCAAGCTTTTTTGCCAACAGTCTTTCAGTATGTAAAGTTACTTTTTAAAATTCTTAAAATGAGTCTATTTCTGCAGGTTTCTAATTTGTTTTGCAAAGCTTTTTTTCTACCCAGTGCTGTTACGTATGTGTGTAAGTCTTTCATGGCAAAAAAAGTACGAAATGATGAAAAAGACAAGAATTTTACTACTCCATGTAATAGGGGAGCTTCTCATGTAATAGGACTTTATTAGCTAATGTTTTTATTTTTCCTTCTGATTTCAGTTTGTCTTTTCCTTCGGTCTTAAAATGAGAAGAATGGTGATATTTCATCATACTGCATCCAAAAACCAGTGGAGCTCAGTAGTGATGCAGTTCTTGGTTAGGTGCACCCAGCCCGGTGGCTCTGGCAGTGGCATGTGCAGCTTTAGGCTGATGTCTAAGCTAACAAATTGAACTGATATCATTGAGTGGAAAGGGTAGGGAAGAAAGCCCTGGAAAGCAACAGGGGAGAGGGGGGCCTTTTAAGAGGTATTGTTCCCCTCTGCCCAGGTATTGCAAGCTGAACCCATGTTGGGGAGACCTGGCTGAGATGGAGATGCAATGCTGCTGCTGCTGCCTGCTCAATGCCCTGGTTACCTAGAGAGAAAGAGGTGAGCTGAGGCTGCAGTTCTGCTCCCTCTTCCGAGGCCCCTGGCAGGCTCACACTTCCTCCTGTGCTCTTGGCTTCTTTACATTTCTGAAGTTAATGTGATTTATTTTTTTTTTACTTTTTTTTGGTTCATGAGATATAAAAAACGCAGGTTGCAGCTCCCTGGGATGCCAGCATGCATGGCAGCACTGTCCAGGGGGAACGGGGTCTATTGCCCACTGAGAGTGGTTTATAAGTAGGCTGAAGCCCCATGCTTTTGAGTTTAAGCCAATACCCATTTATTAAAGGTTAGAGTCAGCTCTGTCTAATCTGTTCAGCAGATTATTGTTTATTACTTGATTGTTATTTATTATTCCTTACATCTCGCTTTGAAGCCGTCATACCTGGTTGCTGTCAGACCCAAGGCAGTGAGTTAGTGGGACATCAGATCTTATCTACAATGGTGGTTCCTGTGTTTTTATGTTCAGGGATGTTCACGTCACTTTAAAGTGAAATCTTTGCTTGGTAGACGAGGACTTCACAGTAGTTTGTGGCAAAACACAGTTTCCACTTTTGGGTGGTAATACCTGGTGTTTCATGGGGAAACAGAAAAGCACCAGGGTAGATCCTTTTTATACAGTATTTTAGCTTTGCTTTCTTCTTTCTCTTCAGTATTTCTTTTAAAGAAGATGAGCTATGATTTTCAGTAATACAGTTTATTTTAAATATTTACAGATTTTGTCTGCTCTTGTAATTAGTTTTTATTGACTTAGAGAAACACTGTACAGGGCACTGGGCTACTCTCCCTATATATTCATAACTTCTCATTCTTTCCACTTAATTAATACTAAAGTGCAACCCGCAATTATTAGTTTCAGTCAGGATCATTTATGAGAAACGTTTAAAGCAGGGCTTAGGGTAAAATATAATACGTATTTCAGGCAACAGAATAAATTACTCCAGATAATATAAAAAGTCATATCTGGCCATGTAAACTGGTAGAAACTGCAAGACTTCGTGTCTCAAGATAATTTTTTTTTTCCAAGTTCAGGCTCAGCCATGCAGTATTTCTGAATCTCTTCTTGTTGCGAATGTATTTCCAGCATCAGTATTAGCTAACTGGGCAAAAGGAAATCATTTTCTTGGTACTAGTTCATGACTTCTTTGCCCTGTGTGAAAAACTGTGTATGAGTTTCTTCATAGTACCGTAGTGTTCCCATTTATTTTAACTTTTAAAAGTCAAAGTGCAGTAACACTATAGGTATCCCTGTGTTTTCAGATCAGAAAACAGTAGCAGTATGCGCTGTGGCATTTATTAATCAGATGTTGGAGTGGCTACAGAACCACTGAAGCATGAAAGTGAGACTCTCAGCTAACTGAAACATAAAGGAGAAATACTTTGATATCTCCTGTTCACCCATCCTGGAATTTGAGGGAGGTATCAGCACTAACCACATGCGACTCTTGCGAGCGCTATGAAAATTTACATGCCTGCAAGGAAATACAGCCTTTGTTTTATATTGCATCTGAAGAGTTTGAATTCCAGCCATCACGTCCTCCATCACAGCAACATGCTGGGTGGAGAGCTTTGTCTGCTGATGCCCCCGGTGCCATTCCTGGGATGGGTGGATGGAGGTTTCTCTCCAGCTTGGAGTCTCAGGAACTCCAGGATCAAGGTGATGGTGCAACCAGGAGAGAGTAGAACCGAATCTGGTTGATAAGGCTGCTAGTAGTGATTACTAACTTTCCATTTCAAATGCATTCCCGCGTATAATTTGTGGATACAAGCCATGCCTCATGTTTTCTCGCTGCTCACTGGTTGCTAAGAACAAAGTTGGCCTTCAGGAATCATTAAACCATACACTCTACATAAGGATGTTAAATGTTTCTGAAGAAATGTAACAAGAAATTCCCCATTAGGCTATGAGAAAAGAAGACAATACAAGATGTTTCTGTCTTTGATGTGGCACTTTGTTCTGTGTTCAGCTAATACATGACTTCACCACAGTGAGCTGGAGAAGCTGCCACAGAGCTTCGTAATGAGCGTGGCAGCCTCCAAAGCTGGGATGGAGACACGTGTTTTCAAAGTGTTGCCTCACAAGTTGTGGTTGTCTTCCCATTTTAACAGGTGGTGGCCTTAGGAGAAGTGCCTGATGGGACAGTGGTCACTGTCATGGCTGGAAACGATGAGAACTACTCTGCAGAGCTGCGAAATGCTTCTGCCGTGATGAAGAACCAGGTGGCCAGATTTAATGACTTACGATTTGTGGGCAGAAGTGGAAGAGGTAGGCCACTGCATTCTCTGTGTCCATCATGAAGTAAAACCAATGTCTAGACACCACACTTACTTTGCAGTGAAATAGTGAGTAGTCTGTAAATGCATCATTGTTGCCCTTTCATTTGGAGGGATGAATGCTCGTTTTATTTGCAAACTTAATCATTTTTGCAGCTCAAGCAAGTTGAGTCTTCCCTAAGTTTTTCTTGCTTCTCACGTCTCTGCACGTGTTTATCAGATGGAGGTTTTAAGTACCTGCTTCCCTGTTTTAGTCCCACAGCATAGGTAGACAGAAGTGGGGTTATTTGTGATCTGGGTTATGTGGAGTCAGAGAGTGTATCTCAGGACATGGCAGTGAGAGATGGAGAATTCCCTTTAGCAGTAGAGCTGCTTCTGAAGTTGTATAAGAGTTATAATTAAAGACATTTTGCATATCACATGTGCTATAGGTTATATTCTATAAGGGCTTACATCTTTAAAGGCTTACAGCTATTAGTGGAAAGCTTTCTAGTGACTTCCTTGCCCTTTAAAATCATACTGTGTATGACTTGCAAAAGTTCTACCTTTCTTGTTAGTAAACTGCTTGACTTTTTATAAATTGCTGGTAAGCTTGGGCTTGAACTAAATTTCACCTTTACTTTAAATGACAGGGTAACTAACTTATTTTTTTCTGAAGAGGTAGAATGCTGTCATTGTCCCAGCTGTTTAGGAGCTTCCTATAATCTGGAAACTGCCCTACACTCATGAGAATCCTTTGTAATCATTGCAAGTTTGCAAGAATTCCTTTTAAGAGTCTTGTGGCTGCTTTCAAATTTCAGGTAGTGATTGAAAGGGCAGCTTGAAGGAAGCTGGCACTTCAGTTTTCGCTGCAGGAATCTTCAGGGGGGTTTGTTCTATCAGTCATTGATTCAGCCAACATAATTTTTTGTTTATGTATTTGAAATAATTTTTCAGGTTTTGCTGGTTTTGTTTTGGTTTTTTTTTTTAACTAACCCTGATAGGGCAAAACAAAGCAATAGAAAGCGATCAGTTGTGCTAGAAAATCAGCAATAAAACTAATTTTACAATAATATTCTTTAGAAAGCAGTTGCAATTTATCTTAAGGAAGGAAAGAGTATTTATCCAAAAAAAGACCAAACACAGGACAGAGGGCTAGATAGTCTAAATCAGTCAGCATGCTTTTACAAGTGCTTTCTGAAAGTAAGACCATAAGCATGGTTCACAGTGGCTATTTTTTTTATTTTAGTGACCTGGCCAACAATTCTCTTTATGATTTTACAACTTAAAAAGTACCAGTAATAAAGAATAACTTGAAAGACAGAATAACTATTGCACCAGTAATGCAGTATAAATATGGAGTTCATTGCCCTTTGGGATAAGGTGTTACCTATCTCTTCCATTTGTCTTACTTTCTTTAAAAAAAACCAGTCTGCTTTGTTTTTGTGCTGATGGATTAGGTTTGAAAGTTTTCTGGCTCCATCACTACTGTCGCCTTACAGTAAAAGTTCAGTAGTGTATCAGTCTTTCAGTAGTGCTGAAAAGAACTGAAATGTGATGTACTACTACCTCTGGTCCGTGAATTTCATTTGAAACCTATGATATATACTTTTATTAAATCGTAGGAAATTAAATTGAGGGCCTAAAGCCTCAGTAGATATGGCTACAGACACACGTGAACACAAACCTCCTAAAATTTGTTTCTAGTACTTTAATTTGTATTTGTATCTAGCAGACTTGGAATAGACTTTTTCTCTGATCAATCTGGGTAGAATCTATGGAAAAGTGATAGTGTACTTTTCAAACCCTCAATGTATTTATTTAAGAGACTTCAAAGACAAACAAAGGGTGTGCACTGTTTTACTATATTGGCTTTCTGAGTTTTGGCTAGTTTCCCAAATAGCAATTTTTATATTAAAAAAAAAAGAAAAGAAAAAAAAAGGAAAAAAAAGAAGGAAGAAAAAAGACAGACTTAACTGCTTGCAGACTTTTCACGCATGGAAGATGAAGAAAGCTTCTTTTGATGAAGTGTAATTATGTCCAAACAGAGCTGACCCCCTCCCCCTATATTTCTTATGATCTTAACGGAAGAAAGTAGGGCTTTTCCTTTGAAGCAGTCAGGACTCAGTGGAGGATCTGAAATGCTGCATTCTGCTGCCAGAGGCAGGATGGAGAAATTGGTCCAGACTTGTCTTCCAGACTTAGAACAGAGAGGGGGAGAGAGAGAGAGGAAGCAAAGGAGAAAGAGTTATCATTAATGATAGACTTTTAGAACCCTGGTTAAAATATCAGAAAAAGAAAGTAGTAGTTACAAAGAGAAGTGAGAAAGCTCCTTGCGTAGACAAATATCGGTAGATGCAGGTCTTGAAGTAGAACAGGAAAAATCAAGTAATAAAGAGATCACTTTTCGGTAGCGAGAAACTAATCCACACCTGTTCCTGACTTTAGATTTACATCTTTCTAAACAGCTCGGTCTTTGATCTCTGTATCTCTAAATTTGATTGTGGAGTCTGAATCATCAACTTACCACTTCACCTCCTCTCCCACGTTTTTTTCTTGCTTCCCATGGCTCAATGGAGAAACTTGATTTTTATACATATTAATGTTGCTTGCCTGACAGAAGCTTCACGTTTTCGTTTGCGTAATTTCTCTTAAACACCTTTTCTGGATTCATGAGACTAAGTAACCGGGGCACTTTATGTGAATGCAGAAGTTGTTTGTATGTGGTTTTCAGGCGGTAGCTCACTTTTACAAGCCTGATCCACAGCACAGAGAAGAAAGAATTCCTGTCTTCAATAAGCAAAGGATCTTAACCTTAATTTTGTTGTGTCCTGATACTTTAATCACATTAGCATCTAACTGAAAAAATATGCAAAGCACACAAGCTGCTGAGTCTCCTTTCAAGCTAATTTCTGGGGTTTGCCTTGTGCTTCAGCATATGTCCATCTCGTCTTCCTCTGTGTCAGCTCAGCTCACATGTGTGAATAACAAAGAATGCACAGTTTAGACACACTGAAGCAATAGTGCCAGATGACTGCTTGGCTGGGGACTTTCATAAAAGAGAACTACAATTAGTCTTTAGCCTCTGAAAATGGATAGTTGAAAAGACTAAGGGCAATAAAGAAAGGTGATAAAAAGTGCATTAAAGGATTTTGTAGCTGAGGAGGGATATCTGTGAAATATCAGTGGAAGGTGCAAGCATCACTGAAAGAGGGGACCCTAAAAATTTATTTTGCTCATAATCCTGTAATACGTAAATCATCTCTTGAAAGCTCTGGGAGCTGAGTGTGCTGACCGGGCCACACATCATCCTGTGATGAAGTGATGTATCAGTTACTGAGTGTGAGGAGGCTTTGTCAGTGTTACTGCATCAGTGCTTCAGTTCGGTAGAATACCAGTTAGAGAACAAACCCTTTTCCCTTTCAAATTAGATGCTTACTTACTCAGCTTAGGCTGGCAGAGAGATGACAGTTTAAGAATGCTCACAGGCAAGGTTGAAACATAGCTCTTTATATTGAGGATTGCATCTTTTTCTGACTACTGTACTGTTGGGATATATTTAGTGTAGAAGATCTTGCAGTGCTTTTCCGTAGAATGATTTTATAGGCATAATATATTTTGTTGGGTCAGTTTCTAGTCATGATAGACTTTTATACTGATTCGATGTATAAACAGAACAGAAGTATTGGAAGGCCAAACTTTTCACTCAAAGGTATATGGAAAATCCCTTTGGTATCTTTGTTACTAGTAATATTTTACTGATTTTATGAGAGTAACTGTGATCTGAATGCCACAATCATGCAATTTAGTTGTCAGAACTTTTTGACATGGTAAGCTGGTGCCAAAGGAGGCTATAAACCTGTCCCTGGCAGATTATGTATGTCCAAGCAATAGGCTGAATTCGTACTTGGAGAGGGATAAAAGACGTGGACCCTTTTCAGCCCTAAACAAGCGGGCATGGAGGCACTATGTGCTTCAGCAGGGCTGTTGCTTGGTGTCTGAAAGCTGCCTATGCACACTCTGATGCTGGGGACAGCAGATGGGCAGGACTGGACAAAAACTGGATGTCCTCCATACACCTAAACTCTCCATGAGATTTTTGAGTATCAGTCTCAAAAGACCTGAGAAATTGAGAATTCTCAACGAAACCAGGGAAAGCCACCTTCAGCTGCTCATCTCCACTGTGATAGAATTCAGCCTCCTGAGATTTTGTACCTTTGCCAGGGTTCCAACCTTTCCTCTATCCTGCATCTGTTGGAGAGGTGGGCACAGCAGGAGCATAGCTACACCTGGAAAATCATTTTACTCTAAATGATAGTTAATATTTCCTTTAAAAAAAAAGTTATGTCACATTCTAGTTTGTGAAAAATATAGCCAAGACAGCTTGAATTTTCACTCCTGATAATAAATGATGCATGTCTCAGGCAGGTTTGGGGAATATATGACTTGGACCAGAAAGAAAGACCAATGACTAGATTTGACAGCCAAAGCTCTGTTCTGTATTATGCCTTATGTATAAGCTGTTCTGTATTAAGCTGCAAAAAAAAAATGCATTAAGTTTGTGCTGTTACATATCATTGAAGATTTGTGTCTTGATTGAATGCCTTCAGAGTTCAGCAAGAGGAAAAGCCCTAGCAACAAAAATGCACGTATGCACACAGGGAGTAGGAGGGGTGGGGGGAAGAGAGTTTTAAGCGTCTGGTAAAGTAGCAGCTTAAATGAGCATGAAGGCCGAAGTTTGCTGACTGTTTTATTGAGTCACTGTTGTACGCCCACCTTTTCCTGTCTTGAAACAGTTTTCAGTTTTGACTATCTGACATGACTAACCGTTGCATATCTAACAGATTACAACTGTCAGTGAGTCTCCCAAACGGGGGCCAGCACCGTGTGAGAATGTGTGATCAGACACAGGCAGCTCCCTTCATTTATTTCTTGTTAACATTTTCATTCAGCTAAAGGCTGCGGATGATCTTGTGAAACCTTTGTGTGAATTCAGACTTTGAAAGATAAATAAATAAATGGAGACTGACGATAGCAACGTACGTGCACAGAGCAGTTTCTCACCCTCACAGGAAAGCTGGGGTTTTTCTCAGTATTTCACTGATGGAATATATAGAGAGAAAACAAAAAAGTGTGTTCCAGTAATAATGATATCATCATATTACCCCTGGCATATGAAGGACAGGAGACACTGATTCCCTGTTAAAATGACTCCCAGGAGGAAAATACGTTCTTTCCTCATCTTATTGTAGTAAAGTCAAACAAACGAAACGATAAAACTGTGAAGTAAATAACATGTGGCCACATTCTGCTCTCTGTCACACAGCTGCAAAACTGGAGTAAATTTTTAAATTATCTGACTTGCTTTGGACTTACACCACTTTCAATACAGCAAAGAATTTGTCTTGTCCTCAGCAGTGAATCACTTTTGTTCTGTCATTGTATGATGACCCATTATTAAATAAGAAACATTTAGATTGTCAACACATGGACATATTCTTGACATAGAGTAAAACTGAAGGGGAAGAAAACTCCTATGGTCAGTTATGTTTTTAATTTTCACGATTGTGGTAACGACAGGGAATAATTTTAAACGTCTCTGATTCTTTACTGAACATGCATGTGACTGTTTTCATGTTGTAATCACTCATTCCTTGTTGTTTTTTTTCCCTTTGTAGGGAAGAGCTTTACTTTGACAATAACTGTCCTGACAAATCCCCCCCAAGTCGCTACATACCACAGAGCCATAAAGGTTACAGTGGATGGGCCAAGAGAGCCAAGAAGTGAGTATTATATTCTTAACTTTTGCACTTACATCTGCTTAATTTCGTTTACCAGAGACCTGTAAATGAAATATATGTCTTTGTCAAGCATTGGTTCTTGCTCAGCAAAATATGTAAGTGCATGCTTAATTTGGAGTGCATTGGACCACACACATACTTGCCTTAAACACACACTTAAGTGCTTGGCTGAATTTGGGCAATCACGAGCCTGATTCTCATTCACATCAAGAGTCTTGATACATTATCTGCCAGTGTAAATGAGAACTAAACCCACTGTATTATATATGATCTGATTTAGGCATAGTAGGCACAATCCTGCAGCATGCTGAATTCCCTAAACTCTTTTGAGCTTCCAGCTGAAGACGTTTAGAACAAAATAGGAGACTCATCTTTCAGGATCAGTCCTAGCGCAGTGAGAACATATATAATGTAGTGCCCTTTTTCTGCCCTTAAATTCTTTTGCCATTAGATAATTAATGCACCTGGTTAATCTCATCATACCTGAAACTGGTTTTCAGCTATGGACTCATCATAGACCCCTGGGGACCAAAGAAAGATAAAAAAACATATCAACAGCATGGTCTTTGTTTCTTATTTGTGCACAGAAAGTATGTTTCATTTAAACAGAGCCCAGCAGATTTTCACTCAGCATGTTTATCTCATAGCAGTACACCTTCCTAGCTTACTAAGAATCTATTTGCAGTGTTCACTAGCTATATTTTTATGACAGTTGTGTTTTGTCATGTTCTAGCAGTTTTATGGGTAGCACTTTTAGGTACAGTCAAGTCTGACTAATACATGGCATTTTATACGGCTTTCTGTCTAGCATTCTTAGCTGGTAGCCAATTTCACATTGTGTGGGTATCACTGATGAGCCAGTGCTGGATTTTTTTGTTAACCTAAAGAACTTCTATTAATCTAAAGACTCTTTCTAAATTGATTGGATTAACTAGATACAGCTGTATTTAAATCAAATTTAGAGATTAAGAATTATTTGATGAATAACCACATTAAAAAGATCCCTATAATGGAAGCATCTCAAGTAATTATTTTGCCTTTGATCTGCACATACAAATGAGACTCCTTCATGGAGTTTTGTTTACAACAAAGGCAGAAGTGGAAAAATGTAGATAGAATTCATGCAGTTAAGTGTTTCTCGTGCTAATACATGCTACGGTGTCACCTCCTCTTGCACTTAGAGATTGGAACTGAAATGCCTTCTGTAGCAACTGTCCAGCCTGTAGAGTTTCACCTCAAATAATAGATAAGAAAAAGCAAGTAGCTATGGATAAATTTCATTATGTAGATACTTGTGTTGCTGCCTGCTTACAGTTGAAGTATCCATCTGTCACTGACTTCTCTCCTAAGCTTATCCAGTTCCCATTTTTAATTTTCTCTTGCACCTGGTGCTCTGTGTAACTTACTTGGAGACACTGGGCAAACTGCTTTCATAGAGTAAAAACCAGGGAGGAAGTTATGTATCGTTTAGCCATTCCCATTTGGAGGCTTCTTCCATGTATATATTGAGGCAACTGCAGAAGAGGGAATCTCCCAGCAGAGGACACAACCACTGTGGAAGAACAGAGCAGTCTGAAAAGGATGCAGAGAACAGCTTGAACTACCCTGTGTATCACAGAAAGGGAACATGCTTGCATTGGGACTCACCATTTTGGTGTCCAGTGGACTAAAAGTGAGGCTGTGTTCATACAACTTAGTAAGATTTTCAAGTTTTGCTGGAGTTTTCTAGTTTAGACCTGAAAGACCTCTGTACATGATACCTGTTATTCTCAATGAATAGCTTTCTCAGTGAATAGTGAATCTGTGCTCTAGGGTCAGTTTGGTCTTGCAAGTTCTGTTACTGCCATCTGATACTTTCAAGGCTATGGCACCTCCAGAATGACTAGGTATTAGGGTTGAATTTTCAGGGAAAGAGCAGCTCCAGTGAGCTATGAGAGTTTCACTGAAGTTCTGCTTCCTTCTGAGAGCCCCCGCACTCCTGTAGATTTATTACCGTTTGGTAGTAATCGTTCAAGAAGTTTTTCTGGCATTTGCATTGCATAAGGAAAATTAGGTGGATGGGGGCAATAAGGAATTAAATTCAGTGAGGAGCTCTGATAGCTAATGTGTTTTTCTTAACAAATTATGTATCAGCAAATAGTGCCCCTGTCTGCCAGGATCTGTATTTCACTTCAACATCTCAGGCATGTTATCCTAGTTTTCCTCTCTCTGGCAGCTCAACCAGAGCTGTCACATCACAAACAACTTTTTTCTTAATATACACATCTGGCGTTGGCAGTTGGACCAACTTCATAAGAGCACATGATCATCATTCATTACAAGATTAAAAAGTACCCCATGGCATCATTGATGTTTTTTAACTTTGATCTTTTGCAGTTGTGATTCATCTGAGTTATAAGACTTCCCTTTAAAGGAACACAACCGATGACTTATTAGAACCTTCGTTCTAAGTAGCGTAAACATAAAATTTTGCACATCTTTACAAAATGTCATTTACTTTGTTGCCAGCTTATCATTTAAAGACATGACATCATGCTTTAGATCGTGAATTTGTAAGGCAAGGCACTCTGACCTTCTGTTGGCAAGTTGACTCGAGTGAATGAATGCTGCGTGCTTTCCAGCAGCAGTAGGAGCATCAGCAGTACCATGACAGATACCATAATCATTTAGAGCCTGACTTCAAGAGTGCTGAAGAGTCATGGCATGCAGAGACTCCAGTGCCATTTAGCTGTATTAAACATATGCATGTAGAAGCTCATTGCCCTGTCTCTCTGTTAACTATTGTAAAACTTTTTAATAGCGATAGTGATATCAGGTTGTCCTGTTAGGAAAACCTGGACATTTCTATGTGAGAAAAGATCTTCTGTTGATTTTTCCTTGGAAAAGAGTTATTTATTTTTAATTATTTATTTCAGTCTGTCTAGATTACCATCCAGGAACATCTACTGTGTTGTACAGTCTTTGTGCTGGACTTGAGATAGCACACTGCACTCTGAGTGATGGAGTCTAGAGGGGAGGTTGTATAAGGTTTTTGGGAGTCATTGGGAAATCCTGCAGATACTTTTCTCTCCTCATATCCAGGATAAAACCTCTGCCATATGCAGATCTTAGCCAGCAGAGCTGCCTTCCAGCTGGGAGAGCTGAAAGGAGTTTTCCGGAGAAGTAAGTTGACATGAGGTCGTAACTGACCAACAGATAGCAAGAGGTCACTGTAAAGGAACTCAAAGAGAAAAAAAACAACAGAACAATAAAACCAATAAACCCGCAAACCTCTAGCTGAGCCCCCCTTGAATGCCTTTGCCTTACCTCATTAAAAATAGATAATGATTTGTCCTTCTATAGGAAGTAGGAGACATGACTTCTTTTTTGTCTGCTTTTGGTAGAAATCCACTTAGGAGGGAAATCAGGAGGAAGGAACAAGGAGAAGTCTATATTACTATTTTGCCTGGCTTCCAAAGACTTTATTTCTTCTCTAGTTAAAAGTAGTTTCCAACGCCACCAACCTCAATTTTCTCTATCAGTGTGAATGGAAAAGTAGTTCTGAGTTTTGAACTGAAGCGTTTCAGTAGGGGGAAAACTGCTCAGCTTCATTCAGCTCCTGAGTATTTCTCTGCCGCTGCAGCTCGCAAGGTGCACACGTGATGAAAGGTATGAGTAAACATCGCCTTTTTGTCTGTGCACGCTGCAGAAGCCACTGAAAGCCGGTGAGAGGGGTTCTGCTCAGCCTCTCTATTAACCGTTTGGCTGACCCGGCTTATAAAACGTAGATAAGTGAGTGAGATATTTGAGATTCCTCGACTTCAAACCATAACAGCTTTTAGGAAGTTCTCCCGCTTTTCTGTCACAGGCGGAAGGTGGAGGGATAAGTCTGGGGTTAGTGGAATGTGCTTTGGAGTAGAACAGCTTTAAATCTTTCAGGTTTCGGTTGTGGGGTTGGTTGGGTTTTTTTTTGGTGGTTTTTTTTTTTTCTGTCTTTCTTTTTTTCTCTTTTTTTTTTTTTTTTTTTTTTTTTTGTTGACTGCCTGTCAGGAGCTGGGCTGGTGGCCAAGCAGGAAATGACACATCGAGAGGCATTTGTGTTGTGCAACATTTTGTGGAACTGATGCAAGGATACATTGTCTGTTTATGCATTCCTCTGCTAACAGCCTGCATGGCAGTAATTTTATTCAGGGACACATGGCATGCTACAGCAAGGAGCTAGATCCTTAACATCTCTTTATGCAGAATTATCACAGCAGTTAAAACATGCTGTGTGCCCCCTGTTTAGAGTATTCTCTGGCTTGCCTTCAAAAACCACTCTGCCAGCCCCCCCCTTCCTTCCCAAGAATATATTGATTTGACTCTGGTTTCTTGCTCTGTAGTAAATTGGGGCAGTGCAGAGAGAAGGTTTTCAGAGTAAGAGAGAATTTTACAGGCAGGTCCTACCTAGTGCATCCACCCCAGACAGTAAATGTAGCATCGCTGTTTTTTTAAGCGATGCATTGCAGACGCTGAGCACAGAAGTTTGCATCGGCATGCGTTTTGGCATGGCGAGGAGGTTTTTAATTAAAGTCAATGCTAACTACCCTGAGATATGATGAACGAGTCCTGGGGTTTCATCCAAACTGAAGCTAGAAAATCTGTGACTTGCACTGATGTCTTTCAGAGTGACAAATCTCTACTGAGATCAGCTGGGTTATTCCGGATTTCTCCCAGCGTAAGTGGGAGCAGAGGAAGGCAGAGTGGGCGGTCTGGTGGTTTGCAAGTTGCTCTAAATGACTTTGTGAAGCTCAATGTTTGCCTTATAATGCCCCTTTGTAAGAAATGAGGCAAAATGTGATTATACAGCCAAATAAATGTTCAGCGTGGCTATGCTGTGGTGCTCTTTCCTGTGACTATCATTAGCATATTTAAGCCTGACCACTTAGAAGCTGGGACCTGACCTCTTATGCTCAGGTCCCCAGTAAGGAACTGCAGCGTTTCTGAGATCAGTGGTGTAACAC